TTCTGCTGTGCATAAGGTCGCTATGAGTCGGTACCGACTTGGTAGCACCTAACAACAAAAATGCTACAATTCTAGGTGCATGATGAAATGTCTCTGGAGGGTGAAGCTCTCGGTCAGAGGCAGCAACAGCAACAGGCAGTGCAAACAGGAGTTTGGTTTGACTTGTAGAATTTATTTTAATTGAATATGAATACTAAACTTCTTAGTCTTGATGGCTTTCATCTCTCACATTTTTACAACAGCTTCTCTTCCCTTGGTCCTGTCAGTCTCTGTGGCAGGATTTTCTTCCACACAACAGTGTGCTCCAGCATAGACAGGTTCCAGTATAGGCAGGCTGTGCTTTCCCAAAGGTGATGACACTTTACCCTTATTGTTCAACACTTACAGGTCCCAAAGATCTTTCTCCTATTTTGTCTCTTTAATCGCATCCAGTATGTGGATCTGCTAGAGCAATCCCCATTTCTAGATATACAAATAAAGAAGACAATTTGTGCAGAGTCACATGGTCCATTGTTGTAGTTAAGTGCTGGAGAATTGGATCTGACTCATAGCTACCCTGTCCAGAGTTTCTAAGGAACAGCTGATGGGTTTGAACTGCCAACCCTGCAGTTCAAATTGACCTTGCAGTTCAGTGCTTACCCTACAGTATCATACCAGTACTCCTCATGTGGTCATTTGTTGTTGTGAAGTGCCACCGAGTGTGTTCCGATCCATAGCGACCCTGTATAGGGTTTCCAAGGAGCAGCTGGTGAGCCTGAACCACTGACCTTGCAGTTCAAATGGCTTTGCAGTCTGGTGCATTAGCACACAGTGCCACACCATGTCAGTAGAGGGTGTAAACTGGGTTTCTCAGTCCTCAGGTTTGAGTGGACTTGATTGAGTGCAGCCTTGATGTGAGGGAAATACTTTCTATTAGCTTTCCATGCCTTGTGGGGATGCCCTGGGTTGGCAGCCTTCTTTAACCATAGTACATTACAGTCACCTCTTTCAGGAATAGCCTCTGTGCTTGCCGACTCTCCTCTCCTTGTGCATGGCCAGGAGAGCTTGTTACCAGCACCCTAGGACATAGCATACATACTTTTCCTCTAGGTGCATTACTGAGCTCTTACACTCAATGGCACCTGGTCCTATTTCTCTATAGAGAAAAACCTATTCTATGTGGTTCTGTGCCATTGAGTCAGTTTCTACTTGAACTCTGTATGGGGTTTCCAAGGCAGTAAATCTTTACTGGTATTGAAAGCCTCATCTTTCTCCAGCAAACAACATGAAGACTTGAACTGGTGACCTTGTGATTATATCAGCCTAGTTCATAATTCACTATGCTACCTGGGCTCCTAAACTTTTTATCGTTTTAGTTGTTGTTAAGAGTTGTCGGATTGGTGCTGACTCATAGTGACCCTGTATAAAGTTTCCGAGGAGCAGCTGGTAGGTTTGAACTGCCGTACT